ATGTTTCATTTTCATGTCTGGTTATGTAACTGACGCGTTTCTTACAAAATACATAATGACGATTTGAAATGATGAAGAACAATAACGCTGCAGCGTGAGGCTGATCAGCTGCGATAACGTTTCCAGGAAGATGCAAACGCTGAGCAGACACTTTCTCCTCCTCCGTGGCCCGACCAGACTTGTCTAATCTAGCCGACAGATCTGCGGCCTGGTTCTCCCCCAAGTCGACCGGCAGCGGTGGTTTGAACATCATCTCGCTCTGGAAACTCAGAGCAGTGGGTGGGGGGGCCCTCTCTCACCGATGTAACCCTTTCTGTGGAAACAGGCCGACACCTGTTCACGCCCCTCCGAGGACGGGGATTTAAACGGCCTCCTCACACCATAGCCGGAACACAGAGATCCTCCTCTTCATCGTCCGGCATCATGAAGGCTCTCGGCTTCTCCCTGGCGCTGCTTCTCACCCTCTGCTGCTGCGACGCCATGCGTGAGTGACCTCTCATTTCTTCTTTCCCCCCCCCCACTGTGACGCTGTGATGCTGTGATCCTGACTCTGCCTGGCTCCCGCCGTCCCCTCAGTGGTGGCCGTGCAGTACAGCACGGCTCCTGGAAGCTGCTGCTTCAACTTCAGCACCAGACGCCTCCCCGACCAGCTGGTGGCCCACATCTCCCACACCCACGCCTCCTGTCTCAAGAGAGGATTCATGTGAGTTTGGGGCTTGTTTCTTTCATCGGTTTTCCAGCTGAAGTGGAAAAGGAGGGTTCTGGGTCCCAGTCCCCGGGGGAACCAGGACCTTTCTCTGTAGAGTCTTAATTTTCTCCCTGTGTCTGGTGGTTTCTCTCCGGGTTCTCCGGTTTCCTCCCACCATCCAAAAACCTGCATGTTAGGTTGGTTGGACACTCCAAACTGCCCTTAGGAGTGAATGTGAATGAGTGTGTGCGGTTGTTGGTCCTTGTGTGTCTCTGTGTGGCCCTCTGATGTACTGGCAGACCGTCCAGGGTGACCCCGCCCCTCCCCTTTGACCACTGGGATAGGTTCCAGTTCCCCCCCCGTGACCCCATAAGCGGAATAAGTGGACTTTTTGTTTTGACCTGTGTGTTTTGCAGAGTCCAGACTGTGAAGGGGAGAACAGTCTGCTACCAGGACACCTTCCCGTGGGCCGTGAACATCTACAAGCAGCTCAACAGCGCCGAGGGCAGCGGCCAGCAGCAGCTGTGAAGAATTAACTGTGTTATTGTGTAACACTTTATACTTTGGAGGCCTGTTTTTCACAGGCTTTAAGCTATGTTTTTATACCAATAAACTTGCTGTTGTGGATTTGATCTGTGACTCTGAATGATTTCCGGGTCGTGTACATAGGAGAAGGGGAACTGCTTTATGATGTACACTAAAATTTACTGAACAAACTTACGTCTAAACAGTGACCACAACAAACGAAGAGCAGCAAAAAGAGAATAACTGGTTCAACCTGAGAAAAGTGAACTTATGTAGTTTTTATAGGTCATGAAAAGTAAAGCGAAACATTTCAGTGGTAAAATTAAATAGAATAGAAAGTGGGAGAAGTTTAAATGGTCAAGTTGCTCAAAATTGAGTTTGAAATAAGCCTTTAAAACCTTAATGACAGCGAAAGTAGATTGGAGATATGGTTCAGAATTACTAGGATCCAAAACTGAAAGCAGGAAAAGGAGAGAAAGGACAAATTTTGGAAAAAAAAACCCCCCATTGATCATAAAAAAAAAACTACAGGAAAAGGTCAACCTGGAAAAAACGAAAACAAAGTCCATAAAATGCCAACAACGATTCTGTCAAAGGTGATCAGGGAAGAACACAAACAGAAATTAGATTCATGCTTAAAAATGTGGTCAAAGTCTGAATCTTGATGATGAAAACCTGTGAGGAAACGTAACAAACCTTACATTACACCGAGAGAATATTTAACATGTCTAATACCTCTAAACAGAAGTAAACTCAATAGAAATAAGAGCCCAGATCAGATGGGACCATAATCATGTATTGGAGGAGATAAAGTGAAGCTCAGAAAGAGTAGAGGGGTTCAGAGGTATGGGGAAGGGTTAGGATAGGAGATGCTCTTTGTTGTGCTTGTCTGACTGAAACTCCCCAAAAGAGCTTTTTTTCCCTCTCCTGTATCTCTGATGTGGAAATCCCTCAAAGTAAAAGATGATGCGTTTCTTTTCCACACGTGTGTGATGAGGCCTGCGCAAAGTTCAGATCTTTCACCTGCTTTCGCGTATCTGACGCCAGACGGACGCTCTTATCTGAGGCCATCGGAGATCTGCAGCAGCTCAGTCGGGGACTTCCTGCAGATCTACACCACATGCAGAGCTCTCGCCCTGATAAAGATCAGCGAGGTTTGCTGTGCGCCTGTTTACCGTGCACGCATCATCTCACACCATCAGCTCTGTGGGACCAGAACATCAGAACGAACATCAATTCTCACCTCCAGCTAAACAACAGAGCGGCTGGTTGGATGTTGGTTGTTGGTGCTTGGTCATGTAACTTTAGAGGCTGTCACAGGGAAATAGAGTTATGTCAATAATCTGAAATTCATAGTATCCTTTTCCATGCGTGTAACATTTGCTAAATTCAATGCTCTCAAAAGGATGAGGATCATTGTGCATATTTGCCTATTTCTGGCCTTATCTAACATCTCTACTGGAGAAGAACACAGTCTTGGGTCATTTTAGAAGATCTATCTGCTGGACATGACTACCAAAAACCTTTAAAAATGCTTAAAAAAAAGAGATCTACAACAGTGTTTTGAATGACAGATTCTCCTTGTCTGGTCAAAGCGAATGGCCGCCCTTCCTGGTTCTGGTTCTGACCGGTTCTTCTGGTTTCTCCCTGCTGTGTTTCACTTTATTTATTTTGTAGTCACATTCAATATTGGCATTTTGTGAATAAGAGTATTCTTACAATCAATAAAACCTCCTTTTAAATTGGTTGACATCTTTTTCTCTAATGTCTCTTTCTCTCATGCCCCTTTAAGTAAAGTTATTGGCTTTTAATATTTATTGATATTTCAAAATCCAGGATTAAAATGTTAATTTTGGATAAAAGTAAAATATTTTGTTTTTATTTCGATAAATGATCAAATAGGCTTTAGTAGAAAGGTTTCTAAGCCTCTCTTGAGCTGTCACTTTTTATGTAAATTTCTTAGCAGTAATATTAAGCTGAGCAGGTGATTCAGAAATATGATAAGTTCTAACAATAAATGGGGGTCATGTTCTGTGGAGGAGTCTGTGTTTTCTGCATAATTAAATGATACTTTTCTGCGGATTTGTGAAATGTGAGCAACAGTCTCAAAGCAAGTTCTTTTTATTTGCCGTTTCTTTGGCTTAATTCTCTGATCAGACAAAAGATGTTTGTTCACCCAATGACCCGCATGCCATTAATATAATTTGACTTATCAGTCTCAGTGTCAGAATTAAAATCTGCAACTTGCCTTTATCTTAGCATCTTTAAAGCTGTTTGCAGCGACACCACACACATCCTGTCAGTTTATCTGTGTGCAGAATCTGATGCTTGTAGCCACTCAATTGTTTGGAAAGAGTGTCCGTCCCCCTTTTTTTGAATAACATAATTGTGCAGATGAGAGCGTTTCAGTGAGTATTAGTGAAGCTGAGGAGGACGGATCCTTAGCAGCGCTCGGTGAAAAGTCTAAAGGTCAGCATGAAGAGTGTGTGTGTCGCAGTGGGACTGCTGCTGCTGTCGCTCCAGCTCTGCACCAGCATGCGTAAGTCTGTCCGTCGGCCTTCTTCTGGGTTCTTGTGAGTTATTTCATGAATAAAGTTCAATCAAAATTTAAAGAAGCTTAGAAAATGCAACATACGTTGACTTTATTTTATAAAATTGTATTGATTTTATACATATAATATATATATATATATATATATGTGTGTGTGTGTGTATATATTAGAAAAAATACTGTGAAAATATTTGATTTAGTCTCCTTTTTATGTGGAGATTTATCATCAAAATTGAGCCAGATTCAGGAGAAAAAAAAGAGACACTTTACACAAATTATAACACAGAACATTTTCTCTCTCAACAAATGTTTCAAATGGAACCTTATTTCAACCAAACCTCAGTAAGGCTGTTTGGAATTGGAGGTGTAAACAATGGTTTAAAGTGTAATCAGAGAGTGGAAACCCTTTTGAAACCATAAGCAAATCAGACTGAGAAACACAAATTCATTAATCTTTTAAAAAGACATAACTTCATTTTTGTCCTGTTGAAGATACTCGTAGAAAGAAATATCAAAGGAGATTTTGTGGAGGACCGAGATAAGCTTGGTCTATAAATTTAAAGATTGAAAGTTTGACAAATATTTTTTTTTTCTAAAACTGTTTTTTTTTTAACTCCCTTTAAAGCCAACGGGCCAAACGCCATGGCGCCCACATTGTGCTGCTTCAAATTCTTCCCAGCGAGGATCCCTCTGACGCACATCAAGGCCATCGTCAAAACTCACAGCTCTTGTTTGAAAAAGGCATTTGTGTACGTTTTTGTGTCGAATTCAAACTCAAGAGTCTCTGCTCTCTTATCCGATGCGTAAAGTTGTTTCTTATGCAAATTTGAAGGTAGAAATCTCTCTGCAGGGTCACCACTCCCAAAAGGAAGATCTGCGTGAGTCAGGCGGAGAAGTGGGCTCAGCAGATATACGCAGAAGCCAACATGTAGGAGCCGCTTCTGCTTCTCCAGCTGGAGCCATGACGAGCAGAAGGAAATCATCCTTCAGACGTCAGAGGAACCAGAGAGGAAACGTGTATTCTCACTTCATGTCTTGTTTTCCATTTTCTGGCTTTAAAGGAAAGCAGTCTGAGCTTTCAGGGTTTGCTCATGCCTCTTCTTTTTTCCAGCAGATTATTGTGTCACAATCTGATATAGCGAGGCCCAAGTCCTTCCATCTAACTTTAAAAGCTCGATGGGCTTTTAGTGTGATGATCCTGCTGCAGAGCAAATCCTTCTGAATCTTTACATTTATATCGTGATCGTAACTGATCGATTTCTGATTTTGTCTGACTTTTGAAACCTGCTTTGTTGACATTTAGAAGCCACACATGGTTCCTGCAGACTCTTGCTTGGTTTTCCTGATTGTTATTACACATAAAAAGAATAAAAAGAATTAACATCTAACTGAACCTGAGCATAGCATCTTCATTTTGAAATATAAATTGTTGAATTCTGTTTTGTCTTTTCAATGAGAAATATTTTAATTTGTTGGACTGGTGAAAAAAAATAGAAATAATCAATTTTAGATATCAAGCATAAACTTGATTTATTTAAATTTAGCGCAAAAGACGTTCACGATTTCCCAAACCTGCCCAAACAAACATGACAAAGCTTTGAATACCAAATCGTGTGTGTGTTTGAAAAACAAATGAGTCTGACAGCAGATTTTCTCAACTTTAATATTAACCATGTACATTTAGAGATGGAACAAATGATAAAACAAAGAAGAAAAACAAAAGAAAATACTGTTTATATATATATATATATATAAAAAAAAGAAAATATTACAAAAAATACATCTAAACTTAAGTGATGCTTTTGAAAGGGTGAGTGACTACAAGCATTTCAAAGATCTGATCTATTCGTTTCTATGCTGTAGGACCACAAGATTGATCTCTCAGGTCCAAAAGTAGAGGATGGGAGCAGTCCTGAGAAGGTGTACCCATTGGCATAGATGTTACAGTGTACATGTGTGTGTTTAAATGCATGGAGAACTTTTCATGGCATCTTTAGAAGAGTTTTACACGAGAGGCTTATTTGGAGTACATCTGTTATATAATACTCTGGGGAAAATAAGAAGAAAGAGAACCAACCAAAAGAAGGCCAAACATTATGTACAAAACACACGGTTCCACCACGACCAGGTCAGTTAGTAAAGGTTAGTCCCTTTAACACACGACTGGCATGAATTTAGCATGAAGACAGCAGGCAGTCTGAAACACTAACTTAAAGACAACTGATTCATTAAAGGGTCATTCCAGAGGATGACGGGGGGGTTAAAGCAGTATCATCGATATATCATCATATGAAAATAAAACATCGTGACTCTGGGGAGGGAACGTTAATGGTTGAACCGCCATAACTTTTTAATTTATCGATTAACAGCCGGCGGGGAGGGAGGGTTGCTCCAAACCGTCTTCAGAAAGGAAAGTCAAAGAGACATTTCACTCTTACTCTGGTGAACTGTCCAGTTAGGGTTTGGCCCAAAAGAAAAAAAAAAAAAAATCCCCAAAATCAAAACGACACCCATCACACACGTCACAATATGAAGGTCTTTGTTTTCAGACACCGAAGAGGCTTTTGCATAATACTGTCTACTCAAAGGAAACGCACAGTGGCTGCTGTCACGCATCAGTTACCTGCTTTACTGGTCGCTAAGAAAAAGAGAGAAGGAGGAAAAACACCTGAAGGCCCGGTCACACAAGCAGATAATAAAAAAAACAAAAAAAAACAACCCAAAACAAATTTATTGTTTAGAGAAACTTTCTATCTAAAAAGTTGCTTTTTAACCTACGAGAAATTCTATTCTGCATCTATGATTGAGCTCAAAACACAAACTTTCTATAGACAGAGCAATAATTTCTAATCAAAAGATAAAGCAAATACTTCTGGAGAAAATTCCTCCAAAGACATGTTTGTCAGCAGATATATATATTTGGTACCTTAATAGACTCAGATGTGGTTTGAAGCTTGAATTTATTCAAAACACGTTTCCTGATGAGACAAAAATGTTAGAAACTGTTACCTCTATGAGAAAATGAGCAAGCATGGTGATCATTTTTTCCTACTTTATGGCACCTTAATCTGTGACAAATCAGTCTTTAAGGAGTGGAAATGTGTTGGCTTTTCCTCTCTGGCTGGCTTGACTGCGGTCAGTTTGAGTGGTTTTCTGATGTGACCGGGCCTAAAGGTCACCTGATCCCTGCTCTGCCGCCTCCTGGAAGGCGTCGGTTTATCTACAGACGCCTGAAGAGGGAGCGGAGGTGTGTGTGGAGACGGCTACGTGTGGTCCCTGCCACGTGTCGACTCCGTCAGCTCAGAGGGACTCAGATTCACCTCTTTGTCGGGAAATATAGGAAAGTAGAGTTTCACAAACACATGCATTCCCCATGAAGACGAAAAAGCTTTCAACAGATACAGTAAAACCCTGCAGAGAGGCGAGTGTGTGTGTGTGTGTGTGTTCTCTGAGGACCACACCACAGAGGGGATGAAGAAAAAAGGGAGTTTCGGTAAAACTCAAGCGGGAGGCCTCGTCTCTCCTCAAAAGATCTTCCCTTTCTTCTTGTTCTTTTCCATGGTCCTGAAAGACGAAGCGATGGCGTTTAGTTAGCGAAGCGACACACAAAGCCGCACAACTCATCATTTCAAATCAGCTTTCATCATTTTGTGACAACACAAAAAGAAACCCTCCAGTTCGAAGCATGAAAAACATTTCTTAGGGTGGCTAAAACATCTTCAATTCTAATCTAAGATTAAATGAAATTACGTTTGAAGTGATGCACATGTACTATGTTATATTTCACTGACTGTGTACAGACTGGATCACAGACAGCAAAATCTTAAAAAAAGGTAAAAGAAAAGTTTTTTGAGGTTTAGTGATCCCAAAAGAACCATGGAAACAAAAAAGAGCCAGAATGTAGAATAAGAAGACCTTAAATGAGTATTTTCTGTGTTTATTTAATCAGGTTACTTTAACTCTGAGAATCAAAAAACCTTGCTGCTTGTCCTTTTAACCTAGTTGTTATTAACTGCAGATAAACACCTAAAAGTGCTTTAAACTGAATACAAAATGAGCAGATTTGGAGCCATACTGGAGAGAGGATGGAATCGAGGAATCTGATTCCCTTTAATTAGGGTTCCAAACAATATTTTTCAATAAAAAGCATCATAGCAGTTAGATTTAGGTACAAATGAGGCAGTTTTTAAGGTTTTAAAGGCCTGTTGGGAGGTGGAGTCACTCAGTGCCAGAGAGGCAGCATCATAATAACTTGAAGCCAGGTTCTGCGTCTGGAAGCATCCGGCACAAATCCTCAGAGTTACTCACTTTGAGGCGTCCAGTTTCTGCTGCTCCAGGATTCTCTGCTGAGCCTCCCAGTTGGCCTTCTCGTCCTCGAACACTCGCCTCTTCTCCTCCAGCTCTTTGTACTGCGCCTCCAGGTTTCTTTTCATTTGCTCGTGGCGTCTCTCCAGCTGAGGGTGGAAAACACCACACAGAATCACTCCCAAAGCCCCGCTGACATCATTAGTCACAGCTGGAGCCTCAGAGGTGACCAGGCTTTAAGCTCAGACGCCGTCTTTAAGCTGCTCCAAAGGGGATGTGCTCAGACATGGGGGCAGTTTGGAAATCAGAAATTTTTTAGATCAGTGTGACAGGCTCTTTTTAAACTGTGTGATTACAAAAAGATTGAACTGGAGAGCAATCAGGGCCCGTTACAACAAGGTACACCCACCTCACAGACAGATCAAACGGAATCTTATTTAAAAAATAGTCACTACTCTTCGTCTTTCAAAAGATAAAACCGAACTGTGTTGTCGCTCGTCTGCATCAGCGGAGCACCAACCTCAGCCTCCGAGTCCTTCAGCTTCTGCCTTTTCTCTTTAACCTTCATCTCAAAGACCTGCTCCATTTCCGCCTCCATCTTCTTCATCTTCATCACGTGCTCCCGGCGCTCCTCCTCCATCTGAGCCAGGGGACTCCTGAGGTGAACAGATGGAGCCGTCAGACACTTCCGACAGTCACTGTGAACAATATCCTGGGGTCCTAATGGCCTTATCTATGTCCCCGTGAATGAAGGGGGCCTTACTTGGTGAGCTGCCCCTTCGTCTTGGAGGTGTCCACGCCGTTACAGGTGACGGCGGCGAGTTTCTTGCTACGATAATTCTCGTAGTGGACGTTGTTGGTGACATCCTTCAGATCTTGCATATGGGTCCTTTAAAATGGGAGGAAAGGAAAAAAAAAGTTGAATTGCGCAAAGAATGTGTAATTTTCTTATGGAACGAAACTGAAAAGTTGAAAATGTTGCTTGATTTGCGTCGTGATTCATGAGGTAACAAGAAAAGCCCATCCGCTCTACATCATGAAGGAAACTGCATTTATGTAAAGCCCTGACGGAAACATCGGAGCCCAAAGTCTCACCGGATCAGCATGTTGCGCAGCACGGTGAAGTCGCAGTGCTCTCCGTTCTCCACTGAGACGCAGGAACAAAGAGGAGACACACAGGAGGGAGAAACACAAGTCAAATATTAATACAAGAATCACTAGAGAGTGCCAGTCGCAGCCCGGAGGAGTTAAACACGTCTGTGTGTGTGTTACTACGGCAGGTTAAACAATGTGGTGTTAGACTAGTAAGAAAGTAATACACTGAAAAGAATGAACTTATCAGAGGACATTGGAGAGTTAATTTCATTCATTCATCAGTCATAAAGGGCGGGGGGGCGGTGGTGGGTTTACGCCGAGTTTGTTGTTGTGGCACATGAACAGAAAACAAACGGCAGACGCACAAGTTGTGATCAGATAGGATGGTTTCATTTATGATTCAGAAAAACTAGACTCAGACTTTTCTGAGTTAAATTTGTAGATTTTCTGTATAGTTTTCCCTTTTTGACCCCACAGAGTCCCCACCCTCAAAACCAACATTAAGTTAAAAGGATTTATCAGTAAATCGCATCTAAACCAAATGACAAAAGTAGCTTTAATATATGAATTAGACAAAAAAAGGAAATAGTTGTATCTAAAGCCTTTAACATTTGGTCCGACACGTCAAACTGAATTCTGAGTAACTGGACGCTGTTGTATACAAACGTGGGCCCTTACACTGCCCTGGGATGGTATCGAAAAAGAGAAACGGCATGATGCCAGAGAACACGTCAGAAAAATCAGACAAGTTCAAAGATAAATGTTTTCAAATCGTATGCATTTGTTCTTCTGAACCTCAAACAGGCAGAAGAAACGGAAGTGCAAGCCAAACCAAGATCAGGAGGCCCTGCGGCTTAAAGCTCTTTAACAGCAGTTAAATACTCCAATCTGATCACAGCCGTTCACCGTCGAGCCTAAAGGTGCTACGCGGTGAGAACAAGCAGGGGCTCCCGGTCTAACCACACACAGTGGATTTCATCTCATGGTGGTTAGATGGTTGTGAGATCTCACCGAGACAAAAAACAAACAAAAAAGATAAATAAAGAGACGAGGTTACGAGGTCAGGTGGGATTCTGGAAAAGGGCTGCAGATCAATAGCTGCTGAGGTGGTATGTGGTGGATCTCCCAGCCTCCTCTTCGCTGAATACTCTGCTCCTTATTGTACAGCCTGCAGTCAACCATCAGCAGTGGAGCGAATAAGGAGGACACCTTACCATTGATGAAACTTAAGCTGTCCTGCCCCTTGGCATCCAGAGCCAGCCACTGACCTCTTGTCTCTTCTAGAGGAGGGAGCTCTGACGGAGGGGAGGGGTACGGTTTTTCAGTTACTGTCTGCGCCCGGCGGGGGCTAAATCTGGGTCTGGAGCAGCTGGGGTTCATTATGGAGCTCAGACTCGGCCCAGAATGGGCCAGCGTTTGGCCCAGAATCCACCCAGATTTGGCCCGGGTCAACGGCATAACCTGCATGTGTCCAGGCCGACTGGCTAAGGAGGGCGGGACTTGTCGGAGGGAGCACGGTGGCGGTGGGGTGTTACAGGAGGATCTGTGCGTGACCAACTGCGGGGTAGCAAGCCTCAGTGGGGGGAGGGGTAGAGGAGCTAAGTGAGATCAAAGGTCAAAGGAAGAAGAAAGGCAAAAATAAAAATAAAAAAACCCCTAAAAAAAAGACTGTAACTGAGCATAAGGACCTTATTTATTGAGCAAAGGCAGAAAACACCTGATTCTGCTGCTTTTGTCTTAAACCGTATCGTTTTAAAAGTGACCAATCAGAATGTGAACTGTCCCTTTAAATCAGGTGTTTTGAGCCTGAGAGCTTTCATTTACCAGCGGGCTTTATCGCGGCCATGGTGATGAACTGTGTCGGTTTAATGAAAAAAGAGCGCAGCCTTTGATCTGAAACATGCATCTGGAGCGTTGAGCTTGCGCAGGATGTCTCTTTTCTACCGGGGTGCGCCGATAACAGTCCAGGTATGGGCGAGCACTCATGATTCAAGCCACACGTTACCTGAGGGACTTTAATGAGCAGCTACATGCCCGCCTGGGAAACACTACGTGGCCGTTAGCTGTTCATGGACCTAGAAGCGAAGCGGTTAGGGGGGTGGGACCCGGGCCTTGGTCCGGTGGTACAGCCGGGCCCGCACGCCGCTCCTCGCCCTGCACCGCTCAGCTCAGCCCACGCCCAGCCGGCGGCTGAGCTGGGGGGTGAGGCGGGGGGGAGGTTAAAGTGGGCTGCTGTGTTTCACACCACGGGACCAAAGAAGGGAGCCACGGCATTGTAGTGATGTCTCTATCCCACTTGCCTATCGAACACTAAACAGCCTCTAGTTCTCTCCATGACTATTCACAGCATCAGACCTGGGACAAAACCTCAAATCTCCTTGCTGATAAGTTTTATTAAGAAAAAAAAAAGGTCATAGTTTTCAGAGGTTCTATGATGTAAAATAACTGGACAGAAGATTCATGTGAGCCCTTGTAGATCTTTCCTCCTTTTTAGGTTTAAATGTGATTGTTAATAATTTATAAACACAAAAAATAAATCAAAATCTGAGCATGAAAGAGCAGGGTTATCTTTTCCAAATCTACATTTTGAAAGCTCTATGATGCCACACTCATGTGAATCATTGGAGCAGAGAAAAGCCCCCAAATGAAAGCAGTTTTATCCCCAAAAAAGATCTGGCACATCTCCTAATGCTCCACACGGTGTCTGCATAAAAAGCAGGAATTGGAGGGTGCACGTCATGTCTTCTTTATAATAGTTCTAATAGCTAGGAGGTTAAGAGCTCTCATGCCTTAGCTGAGAGCAGTCGGGCCTACACCAGGATCACATGAATGATTCTGACACATGAAAAAAAAAACACCCCCTGTTTTCCTGAGCTCAGATTTTCAGCTAAGGAGTCTCTCAGTCTGCAGCCCAGGCCTGATTAGAGCATTGGTTTGACCATCAGCCTAATGATGAGACAGCACAGCAACAGAAAAGTGAAGGGAGAGGAGGGGCGGGGAGACTGACGGGAGGGGGCCGGGATGTGCCTCGATGAGGCAGGAGTGGGGGAGAAAATGAGGTTTAAATAAATTGAAAGATGGTTTTGTTTACCAAAAATGCCCTCTGCCAGTCATGGATAGAGTAAACAAAGAAAAAAGGGGGGGAAAGAGAGAAAAGAAAGAATGAAATAGTGACAGACTGATAAACGGTCAACCACAGAGCAATAAAAGGCATCTCATTCATAAGAGAAAAAATGTATCCAGAGTACCATCTTCCAAACCACTTGGAATCAGAAGAAAAAACCCCAAAGCTCTCACTGGGAGAAAAGAAACACAGTCCGTTGTGGCTGATGGTGAAAAAGTGACCGGCTTATAAACTGTAGACATCCTTTTCCAGAATCCCTGTCACTACCAAACACAGGGTGTGCATGAGCGTCTGTGCTCAGGGGAAGATTGGGGGGGGGGCGAAAGGTAACACCAGCTACCGGATAACTCCAAACTTGTCAAAATGCAACAGTTCACCCATCACTGAGAATCAAAAACAAGCAATCGTCTGCAGTGGAGCTATTCTAGTCCCAGCTGTTTGCCGACACAGATTTTCTTCTTCTCTGGTGGAATTTGGTTTTCATGTTTTTGTCTTCCGAATGTGTGAATTGTAAAGATCCAAACATGAGGCATGACGTTCACAGTCTGATCTAATTTTGGATCGTTATGAAAAGCCTCACCTGTCAACAACGGGACACATTTTAACAATCACGCAGATCTAGACAAAAGAGTGCATCAAAAGTGTCCACAAACTTAAGTTTTTCATCAAACAGCTGTAAACAAAAAGAAAAAAAAAGCTATTTTTGTGTAATTTATAGCAGCTTTGGTCCTAAAGGACATTTTCTAAAACCTTTATGGATGTCTTCTATGCATGAAAGCTAGAAAAGGCTGCTGGTCTTTCCATAAACTGATATCTGGTGTAGTAGAGGAAAGGGGAAGGTGCATAAGACCTGGGGGAAACATTTGGGTGATGTGAGCCCTCTTTATGGTGCATTTGCTGCCTCTGCGCTTGTGACAGTAAACTCTTCAATGAGAAATCCGATTGTTGAGTTGTTGGTATTTCAAAGTTATTTTAAGTAAGAATATTTCCTTCCCTTACACTTTGACAAGTCACTGCATTACCCGGTAATAAACACACTGAGGGGGGACAGCTGTGCAGAACATGCAACCCACGCTTTCATCCATCCCAGTGAAGGAAGTTCTGTGACTGGACACTCAAACACATCAAAACAACAACACTCTTGAGCCTCCTTAGTTTTCACATAGTTTTCTCTGATAAACATACAGCTGGTCAGGCAGAGTTTTTAATCCCAGCAGAAGATAAAAAGGACATGTTGTTGCCTTTCTGGAGACATTAGTCTGGGCACATCTTGCAGGCTTCCAGTCTGGCCTTGCTCCCTGGCAGTGGACCTGAGTGGACCTACCTTCTGCCACGCCCCACGGGTACTGGCGACCTCGAACCTTCTTGCCGTTCACTTCAACCACGACGTTGCTCCCGACCACTGCCAGTGGCATCTTCTCCTAAAACAAGGAGAACTTTTGTGTCTCAACAGGACGAGGATGGGCTCTGGACATTCTGCAAACCACCCCTGATATCGGATGGTGGTACTCAGTCTGATTTTGTATTTTTGGCAGTTTAATCTTGTGCCAGCGACTTTATCAGCCTCCACACAATAATAACTATAAAGACTAACAATAATAAAGCAAACTGGACTGATTAATTATTTTTTATAAAGTTATTTTCTGTTTATTTAAATTGTGAGGAGTTTGAAAATATAATAGCAATTTTAAGGCTAGATGACACCAGAGACAAATACATTCTAATTATATTTAGAACTAAGTGATGCCAGAATTTAGGTAAAGACGACACAGTGCAAGACTCAAACCAAACAGGGCCGTTTGTACCTCACAGGCTGGTGTTAAAAAGTCCCCTCACGAACCAGCAAATACATGAGAACATTCTAATATCAATTTATTGTGTTCAATTAGATAAATGGTTGTACTTTGTTTGTTTGTTTTATCTCCACACTTTTGAGCAAAATGATTTGATCATTTGTCAATATGAAAGTCATGCAGCTCAAAAGGAAAAATCCATTTTAAAAATTGGACCAATTTCTCTTGTTCTGTTAATCGTGTTTTGTTATTACAGTGAAACAGCCCTTAATAACCAGTCTGCATGTCTACAATTATGGGACAGATGCTTTCCCCCCCCTTTTTCTAACGGATGGAAAGCTGCGAAAACCGTGATGGAAATCTTTTAATGGCCTATTTGGTTGCTGGGATAAAGCAGAGTTATCAAACTGTGCTTCTCTTTTCCAGCTGACAATCAAATGCACAACCAGCCATGGAGAAACAGAGGCTCGGCGCCGGCTGGGGGACGGACAGACGCTGTGTGTCTGAGATCGATAATCAGGCCTCAAAGCAAGCGGGAAATGAAATCAGATCTCTGCCGTCCATTACCTTGATCTTCCTGATGAGCTTGTTGTCCTCGTCGTCCTCCGTGTCCGGGAACTCATAGATTTTTATTTTGTGCTCCTGTATCTCCTTCATTATCTGGAAAACAGGAAATGTGTCTGAATAGGGAGCGGAGGGCGGAGCAGGGCTCAAGCTTCAGCCTCCAGAGGCTGAACAGAGAAACTCAGCAGGACTAAATTACCTGCTTTTTAAACAGCTGGCACTCCTCGGGAGTCAGCGTGTCGGCCTTTGCGATAAGAGGAATCACGTTGACCTTATCGTGGAGTCTCTTCATGAACTCGATGTCCAGCGGCTTCAGCCTGAAGGAACAGAGAGAAAGGAGCATGAGAGGGGCTGAGGCGCAGGTCAGGAACAGCCCGGTAGATAAAAGGCATGCACGTGTCTTTCAATGTGGAAACATTCACCCCTTGTTTAGAAAGAGGAGCTTCTACTGTCACTAATTAAACACAATTTTGTTTGACAGCTCTTTAAAAGAACTCTACTGATTCTTTCTGAGCATAAAGGCTGTTTTGTGTCTTCTGTCAAAACACATCGGGTCAAATCAAAGTGGAGCCACTTTGACTGTGAGATGCCATCCACAGGCATGAAGTGCACTGTTTGATGAACTAGAATCTTTTTATGTGGGTCGGTGACTTTGTGGAGCAGACTGAGGAGTGACTCATCATGAAAATTAGCTCACAAGAATAACTTGAAGTAAAAGGGCCTTGTAGAGGGGTGCAGTACAGCAGGTCACCAGCAGAGGGCCACAGAGAGATTTAGATTAAATCAAGCTGAAAGCAAAAGATATGGAGAAATGGATTCTTTCCACTACAGGGTCTCCATCATCTGGAACACTGATCTCTGTGGGAAGGCAAATGTGTGCATAACAGTGGCATAAAAAGAACTAGAAATGTTTAAGAACTTCTCGATTCATGCGAATGCAGACAATGCGCTCTGTGTGGACACAAATCCGTAAATTCAGGAGTTGGGTCCATCATGTCAGGAATGCAGAAAGGGCAGAGACACAGCTGCTCAGAGGGTTCAGCGGGTCAAAGAGGAGCAGAGTGGGGATGATGCAGCATGACCAGAGGAATTCCGGAGTGAACGCAGCCCCAGATAAAAGCGCAGTCAGGGAGTCTGTGCTCTGAGCCGGCCGAGGCTGGAGGGCCACAAAAGATACTGGCTGTTTGGGAACTTCTGTGATCTCATATTCATAAATCGCCTCTAAACACTGAGAACAAAGCAGGAGTGAGAAGAACTCCGACCAAAGAAAGCTGGAAACATGAGCATGCAGCTAACTTGTAACACACGATTTATGGGATTTCAACTTTTACAGCCACATGTCAGCAGCTTCAGACTGCTCTTTTTCAGTTTATTACGGAAGATTTAAAAGGGGATGTCCCCTGTTTGGAAACTATATTGTGGTAAATTCCTGCAGAGGGACATTAGGAGCCTATTATTTGATTTATTGACAGTGAGACATATGAGGAATTACCAGGGACACTGAAGAAATTCAAGGGAAAAAAATGTGGGGAATGACATATTTATGGGGGCTATTCTGATGGGGCAGCACTGTCCAAAGATCAGCAAAAACAGCTACACTCCCAAGAATGACTACATAAAGATGGTGGAAATGCATTAACAGACAGAAACACGTTTTACTTGAAGTCTATATGTACACTTGCAGGATAATAATCATATCAGCTTAAAGAGGCAGATATGATCTGAGATGCAGAACGAGAGCAGGCAGAGGGCGTTTATCTGCCTCTCTGAGCATCTAAGACTCTCCACTGTGATTGGCTGCTTCTGAGGTGGTGAGCAGAGCTCTACTGAGCATGAGCAGTGCTGGGTTACATAACCCTTTGTGGGTCACAAACACTGGCTGGCTGCCTCCTCGTCTATGACACAGAGACACACAAACACCAGCCCCAGCCTTCTATCTTGCAACATTCAGAGACGATGCCTCTGCATTCAGACCATTTTTGTTACTACGGTCTTATCTTAGCTCACATCACAGCGTCCGGTGGTCTCAGCAGAACCTACCCGTGTCCGGATGGCGCGATGAAATACAGGCAGCAGTGGACCCTGTTGTCTGGCATGGACCTGCGGTTCACCCTGGACTCAGCGTTCAGGAAGTCCTCGCACTTACTGTCAATGTAGTTGATGACCGGCTGCCAACTGAGAGGAGGGAGAACGTTATCCGAAAGAACACGGTGAATAGCTGCAGGTGGGGAGAGGTGCCAGCACTCCTCACCAGTTGCTGTTGTCCACTGCGTCCCCGAAGCCCGGCGTGTCCACGATGGTGAGCGTCAGCTGGACCCCTCCTTCTTTGATCAGCACCTTGGACTGTTCGACCTGAAACACAAACACAGACTCGTATCCCACAACGCACTGCACACCAGACACAGGAGGGAGAGCCAAAGAGGAAACGCAACCAATTTGAATTATTCAATGTTCTTTAAACTCCAAATATGTGGTCAATTCAAGGAGTTAAGATCTATTCAAAGTTTGGCTGTGAACATTTTTGGAACTGCCTCTTCGGCTTGAATGCGAGTGAGAAAATGAGATTGCACATGCAATAGAAAATTAAAAAAACACTTGCACCATTTTCATAGATGAAGAAAAATACATTTTCCATCCAACGTGCAGAATTTTAATCCAAAAGTTTCTACAGTGGAAGTTTATGCATGTACTTCTAAGTGGGAAATCTCTGAAAATTGACATTGAGAATTTGTTGAAAAAAAGGTGTTTTTTTAAAGGATCTTATTAGATTAGTTATTCGATTAGTTTACCAGTTACTAACTTTTATTCATAGCTAATAGAGCAATTTGGTATTTCTGACAAAAAGTAAGTTCGGAAACATTTTACATTCTGCCTTTAAATAAAGTAAAGTCAGCATATCGGTGCTTTTACAAAATGTCTCAGAGTGAAACACAGAAGGCCAATAAAATCCTTCCTTCTTGCCCTCTAGTCACATATTCATCTTCAGCCCATCATGCCTGCCCTTCGTTGCTCTGCTGCATACTTTCACAAGGCCTTCTAGTTATTTTAGGATCACCCTTTAAACTCAAACTACAGCCCTTTTACTCTAACATAAACATTCTTAAGCTTCCACAATCCTTCAGATAATATGTCCCTCTTTACAGCTGAGCGTATATATCATGCGCGGCAGTCATTTGACGTATCTGTGCCGATTCGAGTGGCTGTGTGTGTTCAGATGTGTGCGTTTGTGCACCGAATGTCTGCCCTTTCAAAAACAAATCTGCCATTTCCGCGAAGAAAAACAGATTGGAAGAAAACCTCAAAAATTTCCCTTCGGGCTCTACACCATCATTTAAAGAGAAATGTGATCTGGGGGGATGTGAGCGGGCGACAAAACACGAGAGATTGTTCTGCAATATAAATACTCTGACCCGGTCTCTTCCCCCCTCGGTCTCAGACCACAGAGCCCTTTTCCAGCACACTTGCAGACACTAACTGCTGCTTGCATGCGAGCATCTACATCCACGGTACCCTCAGAGTGCCCAACAGCTACGAGGGAAAAGATATTAAGGCTTTGCTCATGATAGAACTGAGAGAGACCCGTCACCTGCATTGCTTCTCTGACGTAGAAAATTACACACACTGGGCATCAAACCAGGAAATTTGCAGTTTGTTATGAATCAGCAGACTGGGAAAAATAAATAACAGGGAATGGGGAAAGGAATGGAACAAATAACAGCAAGTCTGTAGGAATTTTGAAGAAGGCGGCTAACCAACTCTTTGATTAACGGATGACATCATGTCTGGGAAACTAAATGTTTCTCTATGATTTTATACTTTAAAATGATTCAAATGAAACCACTCTCACACCAAACATAAGAGAACAAAGTTGCCCAAATACAAACAGCTACAGCAGAACATAACATTACAGCTCAGTCTTGCCACCAGGAATCTGAACTGGACCACCGCTCACAGAGTTCTTCACTTCTTCGTCCTTAAGTCTTAAGACTCTGAACGATTCTGAGCGAAGAAATTTGTGCTCTGGCATCTTAAAGGGGAAGTATTAGGTTCAAGGTGAGAGACATGAAAACAGAGTGGCTGTTATGACTGCTCACAGGGTTTTAGTCCAATGTTTACTATACACATTTTTACTTGGGCCTTGGCATTCAGTGGGGCCTCTTTTTATTTAAGAAACAAGGGCATCATCCTGTCCATTGAATACTGGATCGTTTTAACTTAATCTGTTATCTAAGAGAAACATTATGGGGTTAAGATGGCAAAATCATCGAATCTGAACAATCCTTCCAGGCATTTGTGAAATACGCGTCCAGATAGCATGACAACGTGCGGCAGGCACTCCTGGTTGGTAAATGACTGTTGGAGCAAAGCTTACTGCTAAGCTAGGAGCCATATGGGGAAATACGGGATGGTTTAGTTACAATGGGCTCTCTCGTTTCTGTCCTGTATCTCTCTGCCTTCTGGCCCATTCATGGAGACCATCTCTGTCATTTTGGAGTAGCAGGTAGCTGAACCGGTGTCAGAAAAACTGGATTCATTCAAGCAAAACAAATATCTGGGCTGGATCAAACACCATGACCTCTCGTTGTGGAGTTTGGCCACTCTACCCACACAGAAGCCCTCCGAGTTGGCGCGGAGTGCTCGCTGAATAGCGGCTGTGTGCTTGTGTGTGTGGGTGATGCTTTGTTTGCGTTCACGGCCAATGACGACAGCACACACTGCGAGTGGGGGCTGCGTTCTGAAGCGGAGTGATCAGACGAGTGGATTTCAAGCATGCGTGCGTGTGTGGGAGCAGTTTTGTGATTAAGCCCACTCTTTATTCATAAAGCGGAGGCGGGTGTTCGGCTTTAAAGCGGCGGGTGATGAACGGGGCGGAGGGGTGTTGGGTTTCATGAGAACCTGCCCCGCTGGTGACCCTCTCAGACCTCGGGGGGATATTCGGGGACTCCCACCCGATTCCCTGTTTTTCTTCGGGAGCCCTGTGTCAGGGGCGGCCGCGCAGACCGTGACCTGGTCACAACACGGCGGCCCTTCACAGCAACGGCCCCGATGTGCGCGGCTGGTCTACTAAACAACGACTTTGACATGAAGAAATTGGACCAGCTTCTCTTCCTTCTGGCCATTCTTTATTTAGAAATGCTATAATTTGTCTACTTTCTTGTGTTCTGGTGGCTCGTACAGATGACTGCAGACATGCAGAACCTATAAAATGTCACTCAGAGACGCAGAAACCCAGAGATGCAGGGCCGGCTGCATCTGGAGCAGCTGCTGTGTTTCGGTGCACGTTGGTGAAATGAAGAGTTTGACCTGAACAAGCTTCAAACAGAGTGGTTTTCACTTTGTTTTCCTATTTTCGCTGCCTCTCCATCCCTCCTGGCCTCATTGTCCTGTTTGCCTCTCATCCTTTCCCTTTTCACACACTGCGTCTCTTCCTTCCTCCCGTCCTCTCCACCAGATACACCCTCCCTCCTCCTCCTCTGTTTCTCATGACCATAAAAGGTCACAACCAGGCCCCGCGGCCTTGCCGTTTTCCCTCATGGTTCTTCCATCCGCTGCCACGCGCTTTTCCACTATATTATTTTCCCTCTCTTTTACTCTGAGTGAGAAAAAAGCATGCGAGGCTGGTTCAACCAACGTGGCTCTGAGGACATAAGTGCAGTGGCATGAGAGTGTGTGTGAATCTGATTGAGTTATAGGGTTGTTGGCATTTTTTTGGTTATAAGATTAGTGGCGATCGCTTTCCAAGTCATGTGCCCGGACTGGTTTAACCTAATTTAAGCAGAGGTTGTCTGTCCGGCATCCAGTACGGACAGTTTCCGACTTACAAAAACACTTAGAGCCCTCAGAGACCACAACCACGAGCTCCAACGGGGTCAGCAAAGCAGATGAGAAATGAATGTGGTTCACTTTCTGTTTTGAGACTAAAGCCGATTGTTGAAGGATTTATTTTGGTGTCTCGTCGTTCTGGATAGCAGCTAAAACAATTACTTTATCAATTCAAAATAAATCCTGAATGACATTATGGGAAAATTTACCGTTCCGTTGTCTCTATAAAGATCACAAATTTAGCATCCCTTTGGGATTTCTGTAAGCTCAGGCAGCTCTGTGCAAAAAGAACCAAATACAACTTCTACTCAAAATATTCTTAGCAACTCTTCCAGTAAGTCACTTTAAAGTAACTCCTTTATGTCATATTGAATGTTTAGGATTGCCCATAGATTTTGTAGCTCCATTCAAGTGAGGACATGGTGAGGATGGACACAGAAATCCTTCAGCTTTTGGGCCTTTACGCAGCTCTATTTTGTTTCGGATCACAGTTCTTTCCTGGTTTCGCTTTACTGAGTTCGCTAACATTTAGTGAAGCCAAAGAACACTGTCACATGTTCAAGTGCATCTATGCTGTATGTTATTTGAGTGATAAGGAGAAATCTTGAGTTTGTATTGGGTGTGACCAGAAATTCATCCATCATTCAAACGGGAGAAAGTTTTGCCAGGTTTAAAACCAGAAAAATTTAGCACGTTCCCATATCTGATTCCATGGATTTATTACTGCAGCTGGAATTTAGATTCCTCAGACTTTAGAATCAGTACAACCCCGCAGAAAGCATGATTTACCCACAGAAAGAGCAAAAATATTTCTTTGGTAGCTTGCCCAAACGACTGGAGGACATCGGTTCTTTATGGCTGCGACAGCCTTGGTAGGATGAGGTGGATTAAAGGCCGACATCTGTGAAACATCTGCACATCCCACCAAAGACTGAGCTCCAAAATCAGCCGAGATGCCCGCTCAAACTGAGCTAAACGCTGAGAAAAAACCCACCTGCACAGTCTTCTTTATGCGCTGAGAGGGCCCGGGGTAGTCCTTGGAGTACAGGTCAGTCAAGAAGAGCGAGTTGATGAGAGTCGACTTGCCAAGGCCTGATTCACCTGAGAAGGCAAACAAAGTTTTCAATGAATAAAATCACATACATGGTTTGGTTTTATCTCATGTTCCAATAAAGGAAAGAGAGGAAACGCAGTCTGGTTGAGTGTTTGATGCACGCATGCAGCCCTGTCCTAAAAACTAGCTAGGAGATAGACATTAAGAGGAGAAAAGAAAAAAACACAGAGCCATGTGCTTGTACTCAATCCACATTTACTTCGCGCAGAGCCTGGAGGGACTGAGCCGCAACCCCGAGAATGAAGTGGATTCTTTGTCTGTGAGGAAAAAGGTCAGAAGCTCATCTGCCAGAAAGAAAAGCTTTAGGATGGAGGGAATAAAACATTTCCTCTCCACCTCAGTGCTCACCCCCTCCACCACATCCCCATTCATCCGCTCTTCCTCTGTCGCTCTGCCTTTAGGTGTAAATCTGAGTATTTTTGCACTGCCTGTGCCAACTTTCCAGTCCCCCCCCCCCCCCTCCAATGTTAACAACACAGGAGCTGCACATAGGGGGAGTAAACATTTACTTGACAACTCAAACACTTGGTCCAGCTCACATAGTGCACATGCCCGCTGCCCCACCCACCCACCCACACCCACACGCCTGCGATTAATGACCCACCATCTGGCTCGTGTCCCATGAAAAGGCTGACTGGATACCGCCGACTGCACCGGTTCAGCCCTATGAAAGTTTTAGGCCGTGACAAATAGTTTCTGACTTGAATATCCAACCAGTTTTGAACATTTTATGCCCATTTGTTTTGCATTAAAAGTTGCCGTTTGGGTTGTGAACCATCATAAGAGGAGCACCATGGTTATAAATGACAATGCCACATGAGTGAGATGATAAAGGGATTATCTGGCTTGGTTTAGCCGGTGCATCCATCTTTAAATATCCTTTACTTGTATAAATTAAGTAAGATTCTGGTTTCCTGAGCTCTGACGGAAAAAAAACATACTTTTTAGTAAGACGAAATACTTGCAGCTAACTGCATTAGAGGCCTCCATGTCCAAGGATTTAAAATCCTACTGGCCTGACCCTTAAACGACAGCTATGCCATAATAATTCATTCTATGCAGCATGGATCAGTTACAACAAAACACAGAAATATGTACTGTGCTGCCAAGCCGTCTGCAGCCTGCAAGCAGAAAGCTGGAGCTTCTCCAGTTTAGAATGATGATCAGATGTTGATCTGGTCATTTTTAGAGGGATGTGCCATTGTATGTGGATGAGGCAACTATGTCAACTATGTCCTGACATGAGAGGCGCCGCTTTGATGAGCTAACCAACTTATCAGCAGCCCTACTATGACAGGAGGGGCGCATCCACTCCTAATGTCTGTAAAATGGGAATCTTTTCCGCTCTTTTTTCATGGGTATGCTCATTTTATGAATGGTGATACTGTTTTTCCTTCTCATTCTTTAGAAACCACCTGACTGGAGCAGTCAGTGTTTCCGACGAGCATCTGGAGATTCCATCAGTCCACCACTACCTGGTTGGAGACCCTGCCAGGTCTTTTTTTTAACCCCTCGGTCAGCTCCCTGTCCGCTCGGCTACGGATTAGATTCTGTCATCGCCTCTCCAGCCAGGCGACAGCTGAGGCTCCTGTTTAATGGTGATGATGCTCTGCGGTGTCAGAGGTCAAGCATATACTATACCCTCGAAAGGCAAATCATGACAAGATAGCACAGATGTACCAAGAACTTCTCCCAATGACTGGGTAAACTTCTCCCAGCCAAGAGGATCCGTCTGAATTCGGATCAAAGGGATGGAAGTCTGTTTTTGGGTGTGTCTACGTTTACACATGGACTCCTCCTATTAGCTTTGCTCTCTTGGTAGGACAGTGTCACCACTATTGCCCTCTTGACAAAAGCAAACAGCAGGAAATCAACTGTAAGGTTTAGTCCCACAGAGACTGCACACAAAAGCTAAAATCAACAGCTTAATCAACCGTTTTTTTCTGACTGCTAAAACAGATGAAGAAACATCCTAGTTTTGCCTTGTAAATGTATAGCTGTAGTTCAAATATACTGCATTCTGACCTTATAGCAGCAGGAGTGGTCAATCCAGACCAGAAAACTCAGTGAAACCGCAAACCCACAAATCCTTCCGCGATAAAAAAAACAAAAAAACAAAGACACACACACTAATGATCATATCTTATTACAAGATGTATGCATAGTAACAGAGGAGACTTTTTTTTTTCTTACTAAACTAAAAATAATATATTTACAAAGCTGATGTGAAGGATTGTGAACTGAAATTGATTAATTTATCTGGATGCACTAGTGAGTCACTGCGGCAGTCTAAACTCCCTGAGGCCTGGTCCGTCCCAATTAGCTTCCCACCATTCAGCTTTAATTAAATATTGGTTCCACATGACAAGTGGAAGCACAGTGCCAGCTCCATATGAGACAGATGATCTGCAAGTCTAATGGGAGGCTGACCCTTCCCGCTCATCCCTAATGTTTATCTTCCTTCTTCCAAGTGCGCTGCCACCGGAGAACCTCCTGCAACGGCAGATTAGTCTTTGCATGCATCTATAAGAGATGTAAACATGTGGCATGTGCTCGGACCAAAGCACGGACCTCATTGAAAAACATGAAAAATAGTTTTGATCTCTAAAAGGATTAAATGTACCATAATTCTAAACTTCTCAAAGTACTTAGCACAAACACAACCAGTAGTTAATTCAGTCGGGATTAAAATTACGTAGCGTATCAAATTTGGTTCAGAAGTCTTGAAAAAATAAGCTCCATTCTGCTTTGTAATGGCACAGCTGGATCGGCTGCTGATTGACAGCCGCTGCACCAGCCCAAACAAACTAAAGCTACCAAGACAAACACCCGGGTTCATTTGAAATGAGCCTGATTGTTTGGATGGGAAATAGAAAACAGACTTAGCAGACGGGCACATTTGGGCTTCTTTGTGGAACCAGAACCCCACTCAGCCATGTTGACCAGTGATTCCAATTCTGTCAGATAAAAACACGAGTCCCAGCGGTGCAGCAGTCTCTCCAGTTCTGTAAACACGGCGGGATGGATGAGAGAGGAACCCGCTGAGCGGCTTGATGCTGAACTGTGAGACAAACCATTCCAGACATTCTACTGACTTTAGTCTTTGGCAATTGTTGTGCATGGACGTCCAGCTGAATCCACGGCATGGACGTTGTCTTTAAGTTACCTGGATGAATGGAAATTGCTAAAACTGTTTGAGGCGCCGCAGACAGAGACGTTGTCCAAATGGTCTGTTTCACTGTCTGGCATTCGGAACATTGGCGGGATTAATACTCAATGCTTTGGCAAAAACACAAAGTATCTACTACTGTATGTACGACATACCTCCTCGCCTGCCTGGTTTGTGTCACAGTTTAAAAGTTTGGTCAGAGTCACACAAATGTTTTTAGTGACATAAAAACCAACAAAAGCAACACATTTGGATGCTTTGCTAGAAATAAAAAACAGCAACAAATAAGTCATTTTAGCATTAAAGCAGCTTTATCAAATAGCTGGATGTTATTTACCAGCTGCTGCTCTATTAATCTACATCTTATTTAGTAATTGTTGCCGTCCAGGAACGCATCACATGATAAAAGAAGAAATGCTTTATTCTTGAGGACTGGACAAAACAAACAAACTAGTGATTCGAGTGGGATTCCCATGGGATTCCCGACATTCCTCCCAGTCTTTCTCTCATGTGGTCTCTGCTGCTCTTGTTCAGCCCGGAGGCAGCAGCTGGCCCCCTCACATCCTGACGGACCAGCACCCAACACAAACACACACACAAACACACACACACACACACACACACCTCTAACAGACATGTGCGAGGCTCGAACCAGAAAGTGTGAAATTGGGCATCTGGGGAACACACACTTGCGGAGGAAAGAACAGCAGGGTCGCAGGCAGACAGTGGACGAGAGGGAAGTTGTGTTTGCTGAACAGCAGACTGCTGGAGAAGATAACCCTCCATTGTTCAGGCTGGATGGAACTGGCTGGGGCAGGGGGCAAAGGTTATTGTTTTGGTAAAAGATAAGGATCAGAGAGCCTGGCGGTCTTTATGGAGGAGCCAGAACTCGAACTGAGCGGCGTCAGCGGTCAGTGGGATGGCGGCGGGGAGCAGGGCAGGTACAGAGCCCGGTTTTATCCCATCTTATGGTTCCGCTCCTAATTAGAGGGCGAGCGTTCCTCTGCGACCCGCCGGTCCCAAAACTCAATCTGACAGAATGGGCACGTGCTGGGTCAGAGCAGACACGTGCATCTCTAAATAGAGACTTGGAGGACGGGAGCTGTGCAGGGAGGAACGAGAAAAACGAGGAGGAGACGCGCCCGTGGTGATTTGACTGAGCGTGCGTAAACATGCAGATGTGCGCAGCCCGTGTGTGGAGCGTTAGCCCGGCTGGCTACCACGAGACCATGAGTGAAGCCGGTGTGTGAACGGGCCGCTGACCCTCTACTGACGGCTGAATTCCAGCCAAAGTGACCAGAGATCCTGGAAAAGTAGACAAAAAAAAACAACTAAGACTGTGACGTCATTTGGTAACTTTCAGCTCCTCCTCTGGGACCAGAAAAGGAGACTTAACGGTAACACGACGCACATGTGGAGTCGCATTTCTGTGCTGTCTATGTTCAGTCATAGAGGAGCTAGTAAAAGTCCAACACTAAAGAAGTCCAAAAGGGCTTTTGACTGCGTCTCGGACATGTGGAAGGAATTCTATTAAAGAAAACCAAAAAAAAAAAACTCAGGAAATGACACCATTCGACTATTTTTCAACAAACTGACCAGGCCTTGTACACACAGCCGGTCAGGGGTGTCTCTGTATGGCATTACACGGGGCGTAGGCACAATAAAAGCAACATCTGTACAGTGTCTCAGAACATAAGCGTCCATTCAGACATTTTCGGGTGACCAGTTGCGTTGCAGTTCCTCTGGAAGATCCTCGTCACATTTCCAGTTATACAAAAAAAAGCACATTACATAAAGTTTTCCCACTTAGGTCAAAAA